ATCTCTCCTTCCACATCCACCAAATAGCGCATCTGAAAGTAACATTTGCCAGTTGTGTAAGTGGTCCTTTTCTTGAGAAACATTGCATAAGGTCACCTAGTTCTTGGTGCAAGTTTGGTTGCGGCAGTCTATTGAGTTCAAATCGCTGGAGAATCTCCTTCCATATCCATTTTGTATAATTACAAGCAAAATAAAGGTGGTCAACAGTTTCTTCTTGTTGCAAACAAAGGGAGCATCGGTTAACATGATAGATACCTCTTCTTTTCATATTGTCTATTGTAGGTAGTTTATTGAGAAGGGCCTGCCATGTACATGATAGATACCCATTCCATTCCATAAGACACTCCTTATGGAATGGGTCCACTTGCAAGTTCCAAGTTGCAACCCACCCTAAGAAATTCCAATAAAGAAACGAAAAAGAGAGGATTTATTCCACTTAGGATGGGTTTTATTCCACCTAATATTCTAAGAGAGCCAGAGCCAAAGCTAACGAAATGAAAGAGAGAGAAAGGATGCATACCAATGGGATTGACATTGCCCCAGTAGGTCTCAACTTGAGGGTGCTGTAATGGATCACCATAGACTTCACTGGTGCTGGTGAGGAGGAACCTGGCTCCCACTCTCTTGGCCAGGCCAAGCATGTTGAGAGTTCCCACCACATTGGTTTTGTGCAATCCACAACAAGAGGCTAAATGAATTAAGGCTTTCACCAGGAGAAAAAATTGGCACTTTCTCCTTACTCTCTATTTGATTCATTTCGCTTGCTAGAACACCAACAAGGAGGTCATCAACTTACCATCCAACCACATACCATTATTAAACAAGTAGAGCTTTCTGAACCAACTAATAAGTTTGTATATAAAACAAAGAACATGAACAAGAAATTTGATCTCGGAAAATATACCCACATATTATAAAAAAGACCAGAAAAATGGGGTCATGGTTTCATTAATCTGTAAGCATGAGAAGAACCAGCACCGAGGACTGATGAACCCATGAAATCAAGATCTCGCGTAACATGACAACCCGAAAGGAGATGTCTTGTAAATTGTTAAACAGAAAGAAGCTCAAAGCAGAAAAGAATCCATTTGAGGTAACAGAAGAGATGACAGATCACGATTTTGGGAAATTCCAAGAAAGAATATAACTGGAAAACAAGGACTTCATTACAAATTTACCAAATCGAAAAGACAGCAGAATTCATTAGAGACTGCAACAAGAACAGTCGAAAAGACCCAAAACAACTACCCAACGAAACGGAAGATTCTGAATGAAACAGTGAGAAAAATTGGAATCGATCATCAATGCCAGAAATAAAAACCGAAAGCCAATTTTTTACCATTAGAAACATGCGTTTAGATGGAGGGAAAAATAATCTTAGAGGAAGAAGGAGATGAACAGATCAGTGAAGAGGAAGAAAAGGATATGATGGTCTTGACGGGGTTGAACTTGTAGTGGACTGGGGAGGCGGGGCAAGCGAGGTGGTAGATCTGGTCGACCTCGAGCAGCAGCGGCTCGACGACGTCGTGGCGGATGAGCTCGAAGTTGGGGTTCCCGAAGTGGTGCATCACGTTCTCCTTCCGCCCCGTGAAGAAGTTGTCCACCACGATGACGCTGTCCCCACGAGCGATCAGCCGGTCCACCAGGTGGCTCCCCACGAAGCCGGCCCCGCCAGTTACCACGATGCGGAGCCCCTTCCGCTTGATTCCCAGCGGCACCTTCCCCCCAACGAAGCCCCTAGACGTCGCCGCCTCGAACGCCGCCCTGTGGCGGTGGTGCTCGCCGAATCTCGCCAGCTCCATCGCCGAGCGGAGGGCCAGCTCGGCCGCCGCGGCGGAGGAGTAGGAGGAGGGGGAAGAGGAGGGAGCGAGGGCGAAGAAGAGGGTGGCAAGGGCCATGCCTACGAGTAGGAAGGCGAGGCGCTGCTCCCGAATAAGGTAGCGGAGCGGGCGTGAGAACCAGAGCAGCCGCTTCTCCGGCTTGGGTGTGTACCCGGCGCCGCCGCTCGTCGGCGTGTGGGCGGCGTCATGGCCGCGGTAGATGAGCTCGGAGGCCATGGCGGGTACGACAAAGGACCGGGTTCCCGAAGGGAGAAGGCTTCCGGGGGTTGTACGTAAATGCGGCGACGGACGTGCCTTCCCTGTCGCTCTTCGAGGGAGGGGACGGGGTGGCGCTCCATGTAGGCGAAACCGAGAGCCAAGGGCTCGGGCGTAATTTTGCCGAGGAACTGGTTCGGAGCTCGGCCGAATCACCCCGGAGTTCTTCGGAAGACGCGAGCCTCGTGCAGAATTGACCCAAGGGAAGTGGGCCCGTGTCTTGGGCCATCACTTCTTGCCCCGCGATTTCATCCGGGCTGATTCTATCAGTCTTGCAAGAATAGGCGTAGGACAAAAAGCACTACTTTTCTACGCGTTAAAATTCTACCCCAGTGTTAACCTTCCTGTTCAGTGGACATCAGGATGAACCTACAAGTGTGGGTCCCACGTACGGCTATAACGAAGGAGACAAAAGGTCCAATTATTCTGCCCCGACGGAACGTTAAATCTTTAAACTGTACCACGTACATTATTAAGGGAGATTATTATGTATCGTTCTTTCCCAATAAAAGGGTGTGCGATCACCAACTTGCCTCCGGCAAGCAGCATCAGACAGACACAAATGGACGAACAGGATGTGCTGAGACATCAAGTTCCAAGGGGCCCGTAACTCCCTTAACAGAGTCGTGGTGCAGTGAGTTAGCTACACAGGTAATAATAATAATAATCGTTTTATTTATGGAAATAAAGAATGATGGTGTTTGAGGAGTCCAGTCAGGAGGCTGCTATGGCTGCAATGTTGTGTCAATTATTTGCAACTTGGCAAGTGCACGGCGCCCTTCGTCGACATGACAGTGATAGCGTTGAGATCCCTTAGCTGCCGTGGTCTGAAGAAATTGGCAATGTTTACATTGTGGGGATGACGGTGTCTGAGATGTTAACTTAGGGATCATAACAAAGGCATGAGAGAGCCTCGCAGACTAGTCAAAGTAGGGGGCAATCAACGCAGTCTACCTGCCCCCAAAATTTAAGGTGTCCACTTTCTGGATTGTCAATATCAATCATGGAGGGAACACAACTTCTCCAATAAATCCACCGATTTATATATTGATTGATGAAACTGTTTCATTAGTTTTTACCCTTGTGTGTCTGACAAAGATAATTACCAGTCAATTCAATTGTGAATGGTAGTTTTAGATGCCCCCAAGAAGCCGGATATGTACGTATACACAAGTGCTCCAAAAGTACGTGGGGAAAATGATAATTTCTTTAAGATATAATTGCTTTCAGTGACTATTAGAAATTGGGTTAATGTGGTTTCATGACATGTAAAGTTGGAGAATTGAACTAAACTAAATTTTAATATTTGTGATGCTAATTTTTTAACTAAAGTTTGGCGAGGAGTTTCCACCCCTACTAGCTAATGATATTTAAATTGTCTACCTCAAAGGATCCCTGTCATGAAAATGCCATGCACAAAACTTACGTTTGATGGAAACATGTATCTACACAGTTTGAAATATTCAAACTTGACAAGCACCTTGAGGCCACTCATAAAAAATTGGATGTGGGTGGCTCTATCCTCAACGAATTCTCAAATATATATTATTGCTCTTCATTGTCAGATCACCAAGTCGAACAATTCATGACTCGAACAATTCACCAAATCAAATATTTTTAACCACCATCAGAGTCAACACTCTCTGTGATGGCACAAGAGCACAATAATTGATCACTTCTCCTCGTGTCAATGACCTGATGTGGCCTGAATGAAGAGAATGCATACTTGTGCCACATGTTACTGTATGCATGAAGAGAATGCCTGCTGGTACCACATGGGAAGATGCTTTTTAGTAGAGAAGGAGTGGAAGGCACTGATAAATGCTGGAAAAGAGAAATTAAAAGTCTTCTCTTCTATGTCACAGTCCACAATTCACAATCTCAACATGATTCCCTTCTAATATATTTTTTTATTACTTTTCTTATACATTAGTGAATAATAAAGTCAAAATAATTCCTTCCGTTTGCTTAGTAACTACTCGATAGCTCTACTTTTATGTTCCAATGCCTCAAAAACCAAATAAATAATATAAATATAAACATAAAAAGAAAAGAAAATTGTATGCAATTCTTTTTGTGCTCCCACCACCTCTCTTTCTTCTTTCTTTAACTCCTTTTGTTACGGAGAAGAGTGTTCAATCCTTTTTTTCTTGCCAGCAAATACCAATTCTCATTTTGATTTATAGTTCATGCAGTGTTCCGTTTAAATCTTTATAGGGGCTATGTTGTCCTATAATTCCATACAAAAGAAGATGTTGTTTTGGATTTGCATGTATAGAGAATGATTATAACATCAAATCTATTTCTACTCTGTAACATCATCTAAAAAATTTCTGAAAGAAAGTAAAATGTCAATGTTGATTTTACATATAAAATTTATAAATCAATATAAATATATGTTAGTAATTGATACTCATCACTGATAACTAGTTTGTAAATTTCATTGAATTTAAATTATTAATCAAAATACTTAAGTTAAAATTGATAATAATATACCTATTGAATCTTTATAAGTCAATTTTAATCTTAACACAAGCTACTGGTCAAAATATTTAAGCTAAATTTGGGTAAGGAGACGTAGAATTAATTAAAGTATAACAAACTCTCTCACACAAGGACTTGACATTCTCATCAAGATTTAACATTGTCTAGATTAACCCTAGTATAGTATGTATGAGGCATGACTCAGTGATTGCTCCATGCTAAAATGTGTCATTTGACCCCGTCCACGAATAACCTTTACTACTCGAGCCCCTCATTATCTCCGATACTATATTGATATAAATTATTAAAACTTGACTAATAATCAACATATTAACTTTATTGAACCTACATTATTGATAAAAATAATTAATTAAAATTAATAATAATATATGTGGAAAAATTTAGGGGCGATATCATATGCGTAGTGGTAGAACAGAAAAATAAAAATCGTAAATTTCCCCAAAAGGTATTCATTATCATGCGAAGATTGGTACACAAAACCCATGGCACAGAAAATCACATGTAAGATAGTTGTGTTACCTAGGGAGATCGTATATCCTTGAATCCCTATTGATCTGTTGGAGAGGATGAAGGAGGTCAAGCGTCCTCCTCTCTAGCGGTGATCCACATAGTAGGGTTACGACGATGCTTCTCAAATCTCCACGCTTGCTATCTGAGGAGGAGAAGGAGATAGGAGAATAGGAGGTGACCACTAAGAAGCCTCAGCTTATGAGCCTTTAGTTCCCTCCTATTTATAGAGGTCCCCAATTAACCCTAATAGATCACGCCCTATTGGATACTAGATCTCCATCCAATAACCCAAGCCTCTTAGATTAGTGGGTCTTTATCTAATAATCTCTTATTAACTCTTATTGGATCTCATCCATTTTTTTTTTTTTGTAAGTAAAAGTAAATTGATTATATGTAAAGTTTCTACAAATAGCTTTATATATACAAGTCATAGACAAAGCCAAATAACTCATAGAGTGCGAATGCGATAG